TCCACGTACGTGAAGCGCACCATAACAGGATAAGCCTAGATGCATCATAATAGGGTTCCATTTGCAAGAACTCAACACCAGATTTCCGACGAAAAGCCTCCGATGCTTAAGCCAGTCTCCAAGAGGTGATAGTGGTGCTCTATAAATAGAGCAGTATGAAATGTATAAGGAGTTTAAAAGTTGTAATATGATGATATACCTCAACTGCTTTTATAGGAGAAATACCTGCCCAGAGGCCCCTGCCTGAGTGCCCGCGGTCAGCTTGCCTTGCTGCCCGGACCTTTAATGTTTATCCATATCTTACTCACTTCTTAGTCTGATTCTAGTCACCTTAAGATTTCATCTTACCCTATAAAGATTCGTCCTTATCCATTAGATCTATTGAATGTCAAGATATGACCTTCATCAATGTAAAATTCGAGCTGCGAGGTTTAGTGAAGTCGACCTCGAAATGCTATAGATCAACTAAAGCTCCTCATAGTGATAGGCAAAGCCGCCATCCTTATGCCTATCTTTTCGCGAGTTTCTCCTAGGTCCTCCTCGAAGTCCTCGGATCTTCTCGTCGATATCGAGCTATTATGCGATTACTCTCCCTTCAAGCCTTTGTATCACCAGTCGATGTTGAGGTTCTTGAGTCGTAGCTAGGGCTGCAAACGAGTCAAGCAGCTCGCGAGCCGCTCACGAGCGCTCGAGTCAAAGCTCAGCTCGAGCACGAACTCGAGCCCATATTTTACATGGTCAAGCGGCACGCGAGCGGCTCGAGATATATAAAATTACTAAAATACCCTTTCATATATATGTATTTAATGGTTTTTACAAAATTGCTTGACAAATTCGAACCGAACTCGAGCCGAGCTCGAGCATTTTGAATTCGAGTAGAGCTCGAGCCAGGCTCGAGCTTTTGCATTTTTTTATTGAGTCGAGCTCGAGCCTCATAAATCGAGCTCGAGCAGCTGAAAAAAAAAAATTAATTATGCTCGATAAGGCCAATGCTCGGCTCGGCTCAACTCGTTTGCAGCCCTAGTCGTAGCCATTCCCGTGCCGATCATTATCCTCCTTCGAATTACCGCATACCACATAAGTCGACTCGAGGATCTCAAGTCGTTATCTCATAAATCGACTTAAGGACGTCGAGTCACGATCATTCCTTCAGCGATTATATCGGGTCGGTATGTTTAACTCGAATCGACATAGGCAGCTCGACTTATTGCCCGGTCGAGCTGCCAACACCAGTTTATGCGAGTATGGCTATATCAAAACCGGTTCGAGATCACTAAAAAAGCGGTTCTTGAAGATACTGCACATCATATATATAGTAATAATTTAACTCTAGTATCTATAATTTAAAATAATTACCGTATTTATTAAATTTAAGTAGCTCAAAGTACCAATTGCCTAACCTGCATCTATATCTGAAATACCTGCATCTATATCTGATATTTCAATGGTTGTGTGTCATAAAACTAGTTGTTCTTTACCAAAAATCTCCCGCCACACTACCATTTGAGCTAGTGCAGTTAATCTTTACTTTTCTACATTAATTGTCTAGTGCAGTTAATCTTTACTTTTCTACATTAATTGTTCGGCCAAACATTCGTGCATATATTATATAGATAGTAGGCTTTCTACAACAATGCACAACTTGTTTCACCATCATATCCCCTATATATTAATATATTAATTCATCGCTGAGCCTACGTGACTGCTTCGGGTACTTCGAATTACTATAAATATGTTGATTATTTATGGTCATGTTACATGTATTAATTGAATTTTGATATCATTGAATTGTATATATATTTTAAAAGTTAATAACTTTTGCATTTTTTATCAATTTTACATATGTAATATATCAAATTAATCTTCTTTTGTTGAACTTCGATTTAACATCCATATTGTATGTATAAAATAATAATTTATATTTATCTTTATAACAATAATAAAATTATTTTTTATATTAATTAGAAAAATAAAATTATTTATCAACTAATATATTTATATTTCAAGTAGTTATATGATATAAGTTATAAAAACTAATATAATATAACACATGTAAGTCATAAATAACACATATCATTCTAAAATATATAGTACTATATTTTTTTTTTTGTAAAAATGTAAACTAAATTTAATATAGTTTTCTCATTAATTTTAAAATTTAAGAATAATTCTTTAACAAGCACCCGTGTAATAGTGTTGTATTAGTTACATTTATAGCATAATTTGTTAGGTAGTGAGAGATCTGGATTTTATGAGTCTATAAATGTAACAATATCCCTATTACCTCGTAATAATTCACAATATTCTAAGTAGTTTTAAAATTTGTCTTTCATATCTCTCTTATTTTCTCTTGCAAATTCAAGTCATCCCATTCCTAAAACCATTTTTTTTTTTTCACTTTTCCAAAATTTTGTCAAAAAATCAAGAATGGGACACAATGGAAAAACTAATGAAACTAGAATTAACGGAAAGATTTGTACCGAGTCGATACTTGAAACGAAAGACTCGAAAAATCATCCCGGCTTCAGCTCGTCTGTCAAGCTCAAATACGTCAAGCTCGGCTACCACTACTTAACCACCCATGCATTGCACATCTTTTTTGTTCCCTTAATAGCAATCTCGACCATCCATCTCACTACCATCACGTCACAAGACCTACTAAAATTATACGACCACTTAAAATACAATTTGGTCTCGGTTATCTTTTCATCGACAATAGTCGTTTTTCTTACGACACTCTACTTCACGATGAAGCCGAGAAAAATCTACTTGGTCGACTTTTCTTGCTACAAGCCCAAACCGGAAAGCATGCGCACGAAGGAGTTTGTCGTGTCGCAAGCGAAAATATTAGGTTGTTTCACGCGCGAGAATTTGGAATTTCAAAAAAGAATACTCGAGAGGTCAGGTTTGGGCCAAAAGACGTACTTTCCCGATTCGCTCTTGCGGGATTCTCCTGACCCGTGCATGGCGGAGGCTAGACAAGAAGCCGAGGAAGTAATGTTTGGAGCGATCGATGATTTGTTGGGTAAAACGAAGGTTAGGGCTAAGGATATCGGGATACTTGTGGTCAACTGTAGCTTGTTTAATCCCACGCCGTCGTTATCCTCCATGATTGTGAATCATTACAAGCTAAGGGGTAATGTGTTGAGCTATAATCTTGGTGGGATGGGCTGTAGTGCTGGATTGATCTCCATTGACCTTGCCAAACAGCTTCTGCAGGTTTGTTAACTCCTGTTTTTTTTTACAAAATTTTTTATTATGTATTATACAACATATTTAGCATGAGAATAATTGGAAACAGGTGAATCCCAACTCATACGCGCTAGTGGTGAGTACTGAGAACATCACTCTTCACTCCTACACTGGCAACAACCGCTCGATGCTACTCTCAAACTGCATCTTTCGAATGGGCAGTGCTGCTATCCTCCTCTCCAACAAGCACTCCGATAAACCACGTGCTAAATACGAACTCATCCACACCGTTCGAACCCATATGGGCGCCCAAGATAAAAGCTACAGGTCATTTATTTATTTATTTCTTTATTTTAACACAATTTGGAAGTCTTGTGATAATTTGTATATAAAATAATATTTCACAACAAAAATGACAGGTGTGTTTTCCAAGAAGAAGACAAGGATGCTCGAAAAGTGGGCGTCCGCCTCTCCCGAGACATCATGTCAGTGGCCGGCGAAGCCCTGAGGACGAACATCACGACCTTAGGTCCGTTAGTCCTCCCCATGTCGGAGCAACTCCTCTTTTTGTTCACGCTCCTTGCCCAGAAGGTGCTCAAGATGAAGAAAATCAAGCCATACATCCCAGATTTCAAGCTCGCGTTCGAGCACTTCTGCATTCACGCAGGGGGCAGAGCAGTGTTGGACGAGCTGGAGAAGAATCTCGAGTTGAGCCCATGGCACATGGAACCGTCTAGAATGACGCTCTATCGGTTTGGGAACACGTCAAGCAGCTCATTGTGGTATGAACTGGCGTACGTAGAGGCCAAGGGTAGGGTTCGTAAGGGGGACCTTACATGGCAGATTGCGTTCGGCTCGGGATTCAAGTGTAATAGTGCAGTCTGGAAGGCATTAAGACGGGTTAACCCGACTAACGAGAGGAATCCGTGGACGGATGACATTCACGAATTTCCCGTGGAGGTGCCAGAAGTGGCTTCCATTCAGTGCTAGGGAATTTAGAATAACGCATATCGTGTCGCAAAAACATAACGCAAACGAAACGAAATATTGATTTAGAGGTGTTGGGTGTTGGGGTTCGCTATACTGAACCAGGTAAAATGCAACTGAAATTAAATAAAATAAAACGAGCATCTATCGAATATATACTGTTGCATACTTTATAATTTAATCAATTGTGCAAGATTTTGTTGCACATATATTGTTCGCTAATTATTTTTCGCTATCTCTGCAAGTGTACGGTGCAACATTCGCCAGAGATTGTAATTAAATTAACTAAATGTTACAATAACAAGGGTCAAATATTATCTAGATTATTTGGATGATGATTATATGCTCAAACATTAAACTAAGAAATAATATATCTAAACAATAGAAATAAAGCAAGATATAAAAGATAGATTATAGATTATGTTTTTCTCATAATTAATTCATGAACAATTTAATTCAACCGAACCTTATTTAATTTACCGATCGTATGGGTAGTCGCTAAAATAAGTCAATATTTTCTCCCGAACAAGTTAAACCGTTGATTAATTACTACTATCTCTTATCGGTCTCAAGATGAACAACTAACTCCGTAAATTACTGGAATTCATTTTTACGTAAGATCCTATCAACCTCTCGATTTGTTTATTTTCATACGTTGTAAATCTCTCAATTGTAGCAATCAATTATCTCATCTGGGTCTCATACAATAAAAATAAGCACAAGAAATTGATAAATGAAAGATAAATTGATAAATGAAAGATAAACAGAAATGAAAACAAAAAAGTTGTATCATAAATCAATCTAAGTACTAGCAAATCTTAGAATCTAAGATAAATTTTGCCTAAAAACATGCTTGTAAAATAAGCATATCATTGAGTTCGAAAGAGAAAATAAAAAGAAAGAAAAAACTTATTCGGCTTCGTCGATCTTTTCTGGCTTTCTTGCTCGTCTTGGGCGCGTTCCAAACCTCCAGAACTCTATAAAAATATGAAAAACTCTCTGAAAAGCTCCCCGAAAACGTGCCCTAGTACTCCTTAAATAGTTGGGATCGAGTCATAGCCGAAATAGGTCGAAGAACCCGTCAAAAATAGGAAACACGCACAAATTACGATTTTGTCGCGCCCAGACCCACTCTCGACTTGTGTGGTAATGTCACATAATCCACACAAGTCGTGTGGAAAAGTAGAGAGCTCGTTTCGAATCCTTCAGCTCAACACGACTTGTGTCGAATGTCACACGAGTAGTGTGATGTGTAGTCGACTCAAAATCCATTTTTGGGGCGGGATGAAGCACACTGTCTGCGTAAATCTTCATGAAGGTTCTTAGGATTGCAGAATGAAGGTCATCTCAGCTCTAGGTGGCAAGCCGGCAAATTCCGGTCAGCGAACAACCTGACACCAACTTGGTCTTATCCAGCGTTCCGTCGGTCAGTACGGCGGCTCTCTGATTTTTGAGCAGCAGTGAGGTGGTGGACGAGCAGCGAAGCTCCAACAGGTCTTTCATAAACACACAAAAACTTACATACTCTCAATTTTATCAATTTTATACACTTGAGCATCGGGGACTTTTCTGCCGGGAATCCTCCCGGTGTATTCCAGGTCGTCGGAGCTCTGGGCTGGTGCAGGTTCGTGGTTCGCGGTTAACCCGATCCGAGGCAATTTGTGTATCACACAAGGACATTTGTTTTAACTAACATGAAACACAATATCCACACGAAATTAAAGAAGTCTATTCTTTAATCTTCACTTCTAAAATTGCCAACAACTTCAAGATTATCCTTAGAATCTTAACGAGACCTGTCATTAGTTACAGCACAAATCTCATGTCTTGTCTCAATAAAACTTTGACCCGAGAGCCTCTTCAATTCCTTCTCCCTAACCAAATTACGAACTCGTGCAACCTCATACCAGTTTTCCTCATAAGCATATATATTCGACAACAAAATGTAATGCCCTGCATCACAAGTGTTCAAATCGAACACTTTTTCTGCTGCAATTTTTCCAATCTCTGAGTTTCCGTAAATCCTACAAGAATTTAGCAAAGCTCCCCACACATCTGCCCCAACTGTTTCTTTAATTTGACCGATAAATCGCATGGCCTTGTCCAGCTCCCCCATGCGACCAAGAAGGTCGACCAAGATCCCATAATGTTTCAAATTTGGTTTTATTCCATATTTTCCTACCATAGTATTAAATATATCAACTCCTTCTTCAAGTAGGCCTGTGTGGCTACATGCAGATAAAATTGATAGAAAAGTCAACTCATTTGGGCTAATGGATGAATTTTTAGTCATTTGGCGAAATAACATTAGAGCTTCATGGCCTTTCCCGTGAAGGCCGTATGCGGAAAACATGGAACTCCAGATAACGGTATCTCTATCCAACATTTGCTCGAAAATAGCAATAGAACCTTCCAAGCTACCACATTTTGCATAAGACTCTATAAGTGAAGCATGGACAAAAGAATTACCAAAGAGGCCATCCCTAATCACAAGACCATGGACACAACTAGTTTGATGAAAAACACCCAACTCCGAACAGGCCTTCAGAATCTTAACTGAATCACAAAAATCAGGTCGAAAGCCACTAGCCAACATATCACGTAAAATTCCGACCGCTTTGCGTGCCCTTCCATTTTCAACACATCCACTCAACACGGCCGAAAAAGAAACTCTATCTTTCACAGGGATTCGGTCAAACACTTGGATTGCTTCATCCGGTGAACAACAGCTCATGTACATGTCTATTAGAGCTGTTGACACCAAGATATCTAAATCAATTTTTTTACTAACAACAAGCTTATGTATCCTTCTACCCATATTCAAATCATGAGAAGCTTCACATGCATGCAGTGCACTGATCACAACAGCGGTGTTTACCTTGATTTCTCTCTCTAACATCACATCAAAGAGATAGAGTGCTTCTTTAGAGCACCCGTTATGCGCGTAGCACGAAATCATACAGCCCCACGATATAAAGTCTTTCTGTGGCATTTTATTGAACAAGCTCGCAGCATAATTTACCGAACCCATTTTCCCATACAAATTCAACAGGGCATTTAACAGTGACAAGCCATTTTCAGACAAACCAGTCCGAATCATGTAGCTATGAACACTTCTCCCTGCCTTAAGTTCCGAAGTCTGTGCACAAGCCGACACAACGCTGACCAGAGCAATGGAATCGAGCACGATGCCTTCTGCCCTCACCATTCGAGCAAAAAACTCAAGGGCCTGATTAGGCCCACCATTCTTCAAGTATCCAGTGACAACTGTACTCCACAAAACTGTGTCCGGTTTGGGAAATTCGTCGAACACGCATAAGGCGTCGTCCATTTTCCCGAATTTTGAATAGATTTCGACCAAAGCTGACCCCAAGAAAGCGTGCCCGCTGACCCCATGGGTCTTACGCACCAACCCATGAATCATTTTCCCGTAATCGAATTCTCCGAGAGCAGCACAGGCTTTAAGGGATGTGCATATCGAATAAAGATCCGGTTTTTGGGACGAGACCAAGCTGGGAAAGAGGAGAAGGCAATCTTTGTGCTGTCCGTGCCTGTAGTAGCATTTCAGGATAGTGTTGAAGATGCGTACGGTTCTCTCAGGAATTTCGTCAAGCAGGTTTCGGGTTGTTCGAGGAGTGGTAAACCGTGAGTAGACAACGATCAGCTGGGCAGCGAAAGGGGCGTCGTGCGTGAGGCCGGTTTTGATGGCGAAGGGATGGAGCTGGTCAAGGCATCTCCATGTTTTACATGCTTCCAAGAGTTTGCTGAGTTGCTGAGCAGTTACCATGTAAGATCTTGGTTAAAACGGTCAATGAGAAAGAACAATATTTATTTATTTATTGTAAAGAATAAAATATTGAATTGGAGGAGGGACGTAAAATAGGGTACGCATGCTGTTTTACAGAGGAGACTAAAGTCGAACGAAATTGCACTAACAAAACGAAAAACAAAAAAACGCACAACTAATGTATAAATAAATAAGCTAAGTCCTGCCCTACTCCTAACAGACATAACGCACGACCATCTGAGTCGGCACACGTGTCATTCCCTGTAGCACAGAGATCCAACAAAACAGAAATTGGAACCTCAAATTTAAAAACTGCGGCCACTCACGTCGCCTAAACGGTTTTGCTAAAGAGATCTGGACTCCAACGCCTAGGAAGGAGAGAGCCACACAAAAAGAACACTGATAGCCGCTGGAGCTCGAAAGAAGGTCAAAGCGCGCAGTCGAGCCGCACCCTTGGACACAACATGTACGGACACAAACCCAGACAAACCGACGGGCCGACAGACTCAGAAGGCTGGGGGCTAAAGTGTTGACGATCGTCGTCTCTACCTTAGTCGGAGAGATGGCGTAGCAGAGAGTGCCAACTCCGACCAAACTTCCGGAAGTCCTCGAAAGAGGCGGAAAAAAGGGCCCCAAGCCCCGACTCGGTGGAACATGGCTCGAGTAGCGCGGCGGCAGGTCTCAAGTGGAGGAGGGGCGACGAACAAAGAAGAAGCGGGCACGTCCCCAACGCGTGAAGAGGGCTTGTTCTATATCAATTTCCGAGAATGAAGAACTTTAAAATGCCCTACTAGAAAGTGTCTTTCAAAGTAGGGATTTATCTCCAATAATGCTCAAGATCTGATTTCAGTATTTTGTAACAAGGTGTTGGTTCTTTACCAAAATGAACCCTTAAAAGTTAAAACAGAAACTAGTTTTGTGATCATGCCTTACCACATCTGTGAGACGAGATAAGGGCACGCCAAAGAATCGAGTTACTCAAACAATGTATACAACGAGACAGACCAAAAACTACCTATAATAACTCAAGTCCCTCCAAACCGTATTAGGAACAAGAGGCAAGCCTAACAACTTCTGAGACTATTAACAAATATTTACACAAGCCAACAAGCAAGGGGAAAAAGAGGAAAATATAAAAATACACTCTTTCTTCGTGTCGAATGTTGTGAAGAAACTTCGTTATCGCTATACATCCCACCCGTCGGTCCTCCTTATGCCAAACTTCACTTTCCTACCACTCAAACTCCCATAAATGCCGTCGAATTTGGCCAGACACTTGTTCCTAATGTTTGCCATCCTAAATATCTTGTATGTGTCCACCACCACCCATGGGGGCCGCCTTACGTACTCCACCACTCCCCTGCCGCGGCCCGACAAATTAGCGTACATCAGCAAATCCTCACAGTTAAAATGCTCCTCACCCCAATACCTCCCGAGGACCGATCGGTCCACGAAAGCTGCCCCCGTCAAGATCGAATTGTCTCTCCGGGGGTAGAACCCTACCATCTTGTCTGGGTGCTCACGCCACACCCGAAAGCCCCGCTCGATGTCGTCACACGTCATCATGATGTCATCGTCGAGCTCGAGGACCGCTCGGGTTTCCAACAATGGGTCGGACCTGTTTTGCCCCTCGTCATTTCGTACCCTGATAGGCACGGCCGAGTCGAAATTGCTTGCCTGTTCCCCTTTGTCACACACTATAACAATTTCCCGCACTGAGGCACACCTCGAGTAGCGCCTCACGAGCATTTTCAGGTTCGGCAGGTGTGATGACATCATCACGAGGGTGAACTGTGAGTAGTCTCCGCCGAGCGAGTACGGTTCGTCTGTGCCACGACCGTAGATGCGTGTGACTGCGGCAAACGTCAGAATCACAGCTGCTAGAATAAGAATCAGTACGAAAATACCCGTGCAGCAGGTTCTCAGTCTTAGCCTCGACCTGGCCCTGTTCGGCCGGAGAGTGGTAAAGTTATTAACGCTGTTATTACTGGTGTTATCACTTCTCTTTCCAATAACAGCCCCGAATAGGATAGTAGCAAAAAGGGTAACAGCCAAGACTGACCCGAGCAGGAACCGGCGGGTCGGGTCGCCCGACAGGACCCGATCCCCATCAAGCACTGCAACCCATCCACCGGACCCAAGCTGCCGCACATCGAGGTGGTGGGCCCGGGCCGTATTCCATTTTTTTTGTCCCTTAACGGGTAGGTCGAGGCCTGATGGGACCTCGGCCTCTCTGAACTTGTCAGTTGTGAGGGTTAACAATTTGAAGATGCGAATATGGTGACCGTATGTTTGACCGCAGTCCTGACCGACTCGATAGAGACTGCCATTGAATACAAAAGGCCTGCCTCCGTTTCGAGCTCCTGTGCTTCGGCCCGTGTTATAAACGGGGTTCATTTTGTGGGGTCTCCAGGGGCCGAAAGGAGAGTGACTGTACCAGATTTCAAGATGTCCATTCTTGCGAGAGCCGATCTGACTGTGGTCGGAGCCGAAAAGCCAAAATTTTCCCTCGTGAGGGATCATGAACGAGTCAACGAGCGGCCTTTTCATTATGATTTTATCGAATGTCCACTCGAGGGGGAAGTTGATTGCACGGTACAGGCGGAGATCACCTTTAGAACTTCCCTCAGGCATCATATATATCTACAAGAAACGAAGAAAAAGGATTAAACTACACTAGAGGGAGAAATAAGTTTTGGTACAAGATTTTTTTTTTCTTTTCTTTTTTTTGTGGGAGGTCCATACAATTCCGTTATACTCGAAGATATAAGGATAAGAGAGGTGCCAATCTTCATCGAGGGCGATGCCTAACTGCTGCCATGTGGCTCCCTTGTCTAAACTTAGTGCAACTCCAATGTCGCCTTGCATTGTGATTGTATTTTTTGTTTCGAAGAACAGGTACAGGATATCATCCTGAATCATGTAACAAACATTATTTTTTTTTTCTTTCTACATTTGGGTCCAAATCATGTTATAAACACAACCAGTTTTCAATTTGCATCTGAAGCAAATGCATCCTCGTATGTCTCTGACATTATTGCAGTGACCTTCGAACACTAGTTACAAAGTAACAGGGCATTAAGTTTGAAAACAGAGGAGAGTGACTAAAGAATTTCATCATATTTCAAGTTTTGAGGGATCAAGCTATTGAGTTTTGTACTAAATGAATCATCACACCAAGTTCAAGCAACTTCGGAACCATCTCTTTAACAAATATGCCAATCGCCACAAACATTTCAGTCATTAGTAGTAAGCAACACCCAAAACAGAACTTACACAACATGAAAGGCAACAAGATAAAAACCTCGGTCCATTTCCATTTAAACTTGACTGTTCCTAAAGCACAATGATGTAAAATTTGAATTTGTCATCCCTCATCCTTAGTCTGCATTTTGGATAATATAACAGCAGTGGTCAAACGGCAGTTTTAGAGGTTAAAGCCTTAAAAGTCCATATGCAATTACCAGAAAATTACTTTCCTTTTAAACAAGATTCTTTATCAAAGGTTGTATTAACAACTAATTTAACTTCAGATGTCATCAAAAGAATCTCTTCACTTAATGAATATATAACTTTGCAACAAAAAAAGTGACAACTCGGTTGATTTCACCTTTTGTCTGCACATCTCAAAGTAGTGTGTGAATAAGATGTACGTAAATTTTCTTTCACAAAAACCTCAACTCTCGTTATCTATGTGAAACAATTACACAATCTAATTCCAAAAGAGAAATCACATCTTATCGAGGGAAGAAAGTGCTCATACGCAACAACCTAATAACCAACAGTAGAAAACCTCACAACGGTAGAAACATTCCTGGCAAGTTTCTAAATTATTCCAGATATTTTTCCACACACACCACAAAAGCAGCATCTGATCAAATACAGAACATGAAAATGGGTATAATATTCCCTTCCCCTAAAAGCAATTAAATTTTCAGTTGTTACTTTCTTCTAATATGCCAGACAGTAAATATTTTCTATATCCAAGTTCAGTGTAGTTGTATAGTGTCTTCTATATTTTATCATTCAAAAATGAAGCTCGCTCGAACCTTTTAACATGAGACGTTCTTGGAAAGCCATAAAAGCATCAGATTCCATGACCCTACTGCAATATAATATAATACAAAGATGCTTCCAAAATCCAAACAAATCCATTCTCTCTAATCAAAACTAAATTGATCAACCAAAAGATGACATCCCATTAACTCATAACAATATATCCATGGACGAAAAAGATAGGAAACTGCGGCCTTCGAAACTAATATCATAAAAACCTATAAACAAAATACAGTATATATCAAAAAATCATCAAGTGTAAAGGCACATCAACAAGTTTAATGAAAAGAAGAAAGAAAAAGAAAAGAACAAAAAAATACCTTTACATAAAGAAATGGGTCTGCAACAAAGTTGCTGGGGAACCCGGCACCGGAAAGTGATGCACAAGTGACAACTGGGTTAGCTACAGGCCATGCTGCAGTTTGGTTCTTCCAGACATTCATCTGTCAAACAAAATTTTGAAATTCTAACACACACAGAGGAAAAGAAAAGGGAAACCTTGAAAAGCCCATGTAAGACTAATTTGTCACACAAACGTATGTGTAAACAAATCTGCAGTGATTACTGCAGGTCATATATCTGTTTCCATCCTTAAGGAAATGAATGATCCAGTAAGAATAACCAGATAATTAAATAAAAAAAATTATTAAGGAAAATTTATCTATCACAAAACCTCGAAGCAAAAAATTCCAGAAAACATGAATCAGTACAGAAGAAAAAAAAAAATTAAAAGGATATATCGAAACGATAGGAAGTAAGATTGACCAAACACAGAAGGATTTCACATCAATATGCATATAAATGAAATCATAAAAAAAGAAAAGAAAAAAATAAAGGGACATACAGCTTCAATTGGTTTGAGAGTAAAGGGGGAATCCCCATAGAAAATGCCTATAGCCCACGAACCCTCACTGTCCTCCTGACACCCGAGCGTCGTCATACCCGCGCGCACGTTAGCCGTGCCCATGAACCTCGCGTACAAGCTCCCAATCGACCCCAAAACGACGAAAGAAAACAAGAAATACGCAAAAGCTGACGACAAGACACAAGCCCTTTCACCATTATTATGATGTCCATTCTTTGTGGCGCTGCTATGAATACTCTTTTTCACGCCACCGCCGTCGTCCCACGCCCACCACCAGCCGATCCCACCACAGCCGCTGGCCGCCGGCATAATTGGGCCTGAACCCATCAGTTAAATGATTCAGTGTAAACAGTGATTCACCACCGCCAAAAAATAGTCTCAACAGCAGCGCTGAAAAGGTAAGAACAGTTGCATAATTCTTCTCCCCTTTTTTTGTTTGTCCCTACGATGAAAACGATGTAAACTTTTAACTAAGATGAGGTTTTTGACTTTTTCATTGTTGAGCGGCGGGGAACACAGGAAGATGAGGTTTTTTGTTTTGCTTATCTTTTTGGTCCCGCTCAACGGTGTCTTGATTTTTTGAAATTGGGTTATGTTTGCTATATTTGCTAAAATTAACCGATAACTTAGTAGATAGCTGATAAGTTAGTTTTTAACTCATCATTAATTTTCGAGCTTGTAACTTATAAGCTTATGATTTATAGCTGAAAAATTAGTATACATGATTAAGTGTTTGGTAAAATTAACTGATAAGCTAGTTGAAATAAAAAATTCAACTACCTTATTTGAAAAACTACCTAAAGAAGTTTATCAAATCAGCTCGAACTTTTTAAAAAAGTGCGTCCTATCAAACGAGACTTATTTGAATAGAGGGAGCTTATAAACTAACCAAATAAATTATAACCTAGTTTATTTGTCTACCAAACATAGTCTTAGTAAAATTAGCTAATAAGTTATTTATTGTAACTTATAAGTAATTTTCGAGCTTTTATAGCTTACAAGTTTTTTTCTCGTGCATTTGCATAGAAAGCTATGTGTTAGATGAAAAATAATTGTAAAAACCATAACATAATCATTGGAAAAAAATTACGAAAGAAAATGTAAATATTATTAAGAATAAAGCTCGGCTAGATGAGGAGATTGTAACGATCTAGAGGTTGGTTCATATGAGGTTGCATAACGACATGGTAAAGAATATGTGAAGTGTCAAAATGTCGATGCAACAACCTAAAGACCTAAGAAATCATATTAGAAAGGGATACATAATCCTGGTAAGATAGTAAGTGTCTCATTTAGAAATAAGAGATCTTATGGGCGTGCCATACGAGGAAACGATATACGAGAAGATCTTGTCGACGTCTCATACAAGTTTGGGAAATACGCACCCCTTATGGTACTCCTAGCGGTGGATCGACAATGAAAAATTGTATTAAGTATGAGTACGTAGCTTGAATGGTGTGTATTGCCTTGTTGTCTTTTCTGAGGTATCTTATGCCTCGTTTATACACGAGAAAAGTGAAAATACAATGATGATAGAGTGCCACCTTAGGAATTGGACTTTACGCTCAGTGGGGTTGTCTTTTGATTATAGGACCAGTTTGATGGTTGCCTTACTGGTTTCTCTAACACTCGTCGTCCACATGTTGTAGAGAAATTTTTCGTGGACGTCAGCAAGCGGATTGTTACTTGGAGTACTGAGTGATCCACACAACTCCGAGGGGTAATTATTGGGCTCGTTTTTGTATACTTCATGGGTCCTAACCATGGGCTTATATGGAGTTGGGCCAAAATTTTGACTGCGTTCTCCTCGAGTTGGCTCAAGATATTTTTACATACAACAATTTATAATACAGATGGAGTATGTATGCACATACAAAAATAAACATTAAGTTATTATATTGAAAGAAAGCAAAAAGACGATAAAATATAAAATTAATATTAAATAATATTTATATACTAATCGATACTCATTTAAATTAATTTATACATTTAACCGTAGTGCACCACACTAGTTAAATCTAACGTACCTAAATAAGCTTTTGATTATGATTGTCTGATTGAACAAGAAGTCTTCTTTAAGGCTTAACACATAAGGTTCAAACTCGACTTCCTAACTAGAGGAATCCCCTACTAAGTGCATAATGGACGAAAGGGTTGGTGTGGCCAGCAATATCGCCACTAATAAGACAGATCCGATCGGGTCTTCATAATCTCTACAATCCGGTCAAAATATGCATCTTCTTCAGTCATTGCCAGCATCATTCCATACGACACTTGGTGTTTGAGCTTATAAAGTAGGCTTTTCAGGAAGTCGACCCAATGAACGAAACGAAGCGAAGTAAAGTCAAAGAGATTTCGACCTCCCACGGATTTTCCCCGAAGAAAAACCGAATCCGAATCAACAATTGAGAAAGCTGCAAAAGCAAGGAGGTCAGTATGCCCCCTTCCTTTTATGTAGTGAATTTCAGTCATTAGGACCCCTTTTTACTAGCTCGTGCTAAGTGGACAACCAAGCCCTCCTTCCTTGGAAGGCTTTCAGGGCGAAAGATTATTATGAACATAGAATTGCAGTACGTGAATCATGAGTTTGATGTTGAATGGCGCACGACGCCCCATCTGACAAATCCATTGGACGACTGTCTTTTATCTCTTTCCCTTCTCTTGGGCGAGCTTTCTCAAGCCAACCTCCAGGTTAGGAATTAGAATAGTTGACGAGACATAGATCTTTGGCTCACAGGCCGACACCCGAGACAGCTTTAGCTGTGAAAATCCTATAAGGCCATATTTTTTTTTTCTTTTGGGGGTATCGCTTCTAAAGTTGGGATGATGAGTGATCTTTCTGTGGCATGAGAAAGGTAGGTGCGCGGGGAGGGCAAATCCTTGGTTGTGTTGTGAACAAAGAACTGGAATGAACGTAGCACACGAAAAGAAGAGGAGAAAGAGAGTCAAGTCAAGCTTTGAAACAGAATAGACTGAATTGAATATTGAGCCAGTCGACAACTCACTTTGATTCTTCGTGTTTTGGTTTAGCATTCTAAGGCCCCGTAGGCTCGATTCGGTCACGAAGTAGCTCGACCATAGGTCAATGTAATCTTTAGAAGTTCAGTCATAGATATTTGAGGTAATTGACAAGTCGAATCAAGCAAAGGTCCTCTCCATTTCCCATAACCACTAGGCATAAAATGCACTCTCATATCTATTCAACTTTCAAGAAGAATTGAAATTAATGTATCTATATCAAAATTGAGTTTGCACCAAATGATAATTGATGTATTAGGGATTGAATTTTTGTATCATGTTAGATAGAAGTTGTGTATTTTTTTTTTTTTTTTTTTTTTTTAACATAAGTATTTTTTTACATTCTTTTTTAAAACATAAGTATTTATTTATTTATTTATTTTTTTCATCTTTTATTTTTATATTGCGCTAGTACTAGTATCATCATAATAATAATAATTAAAAAAATTGGTGAGTTTCTTCAGACCACCCTACAGAATCCTGCCCATTTTCCTTGCACTCTAGGGCACAACTGCACCTCCGATTTCGAATCAAGCTGCAATGGACCTCACAGCTTACTATGCTCCATCAGCCCATCACTCCTATTACCAGCCACCTCCGCCGCCTCCGGGAACGGCGCATCTGACTCCGCCCACAGCGTCCCAGCCGGTTAACGTCTCGCCGCCGTACGCTGCCTACGTGCCCTCAATCTATCCGCCGTCATTGCAGGAACAGGTTCGGACGCTCTTCGTCGCTGGACTGCCTGAGGACGTAAAGCCTCGAGAAATTTACAACCTTTTCCGAGAATGCCCCGGTTACCAGTCATCCAACCTCAGGCCCCCCACCGCGTCCAATAATCAGGCATTTTTTTTTCGGAGTTATTGTTATACGCGTTTAATATTTGAATACTACTTACTAGCTTGCTTGTTTTCCTTTACCACTGCTGATGGTTTAAACTTTAAAGAATAGGGAGCTTTAAGAGAGGACATGTTTGGTGTTCGATTGTAGCAAGCATGCCCAACGGAGATTTTTGTATAATTTGGGGAACTTAGTTTATGTATGTCATAAACAGCAGGATCATGAAGTGAAGAACTTATAATTATCAGAAGTTACTATTTTTAGTGCGTCTATAATATGTATGTTTTATTGGCTGTTTTATTTGATACGTTGGCTCATTGTGTTCAGTAGATTAATTATTAGAGATAATGTTGATTGATTGTGTTATTCATCTGAAATCCTTTTAAGATCTTGAAAGTAGGCTTCTGGTTGGTAGGAGCACATAAAGAGTGTGCAGAGGTTGTTTCATGGCCATAATGTAGCTATGATATGTATATCGTCAACAGTCTTGCGTTGCAAATTATGTAATTATAGGATAGTCACGGTCTCTTAGACAAATGACTTTGTTCAGGCAAACTTAGTTATCTTATTTTTATTAACTTTTGTGTTCTGATTTGTTCGGATGTATGTCATTATTTTATATTAGTTTGGTTTCCAAATTTGTGTTGCTTGAGCTGCAGTATACTTTGTTTTGTTAAATGCATTATAACTTGTAATTAATATATTTACAGCCATTTGCATTTGCAACTTTTGTGGATCAACAATCAGCAGTCATGGCATTACATGCTCTAAATGTAAGATATTCAAATCCTTTAAATACTAGTTGTGGTTAAATTTCATTATTAGATGCTTCGCTTCCCCAATTTTAATTCATGGTCAAATGTTTCATGCTTTCGTGGTTTAGTTTAAAATTCGCCTTTTTGCTATGATAATACACAATTTGTGTTAACATTATGAGCCATTCTGAACTTATGAGTTTTTGTTGAACCGTTATAAGAGATTCAATTGTCTCATCAAGAGTAAAAAAGAGCATTAGCTTGAGAATTTTTGTAGTGAAAAACCTGATGATTTAGTTCTTAATCTAGAGACTCCACGAACTAGTGTCTGGACATGGTAATGATGAACAATAATTGATACCTCTTCATAATGTAAAATTCCGTTGTAGCAATCACGTTCCAGAAATTGGACTATGAAATTGGTTTTATGGTGCATCAGACTACATTTGGATAAATCAAACCTTGTATGATGTATTTTTTCGGTTTGTAATCTAAACTTTAAATTTTGAGAAAATGCAACACAATCCATGTTGTTTTTGAAAATTAGCAACCTCTATTTAAAAGTTGCTCAAAAAACTGCGTACGTACCCGATCTATATGTTGTTCGGGCGGTTCCAACCATCCGACATCTGTTACTTGGAAATCGTACTGTTTTTGGGAAAATGTGTGTTGGCTGATACTTTGAAGTTGGATGGGGCTGAAGTTTGTGATGTGTTCCAAGAACCTTTGACTTTCTGCTTTAGAACTGGTCGAATTGACTAAAACTTGGCAAAACCGGTTTTATTTACTTATCTTTTACTTTTTTATTGAATTTGTTTATTATAATCAATGTTCTAAAACAAGATATGATGACGTGTTGGGCCTAGTGCCTAGGGCAGTGCGGATTAGATAACTCATACGTGAGGATTAGATTATTCAATAGGATACAACAACAACAACAACAAAGCGTTTTTGTCCCAAACAAGTTGGGGTAGGCTAGAGATGAAACCCAAGAGAAATAGTGGTAAGAAACACAAAAAAAGGCTCAAAACAAAACAAAACAGAACAACACAAAACAAAACAAAATAAAACAAAACTCAAAATAAAAACAAAACAAAAGAAACAAATTGGAGCAAAAGAGAAATGAGCAAAAGTCACGGTTCCGGCACGTTGGTCGCTAGCCTCCAGGCGCTCCTATCCACCGCTAAATCCTTGGAGATATTCTAATTTTTAAGGTCTCTCTGAACCGACTATTCCCAAGTGAGTTTAGGCCGACCTCTACGTCTCTTAACATCATCGACCCGCTGTAGAACTTCCCTACGCACTGGTGCATCAGGAGGCCTCTGTTGGACATGTCCGAACCACCTCAGCCGATGTTGAACCAATTTCTCATCAATTGGAGCCACCCCGACCCTATCTCGAATATCCTCATTCCGGATTCTATCCCTTCTTGTGTGCCCGCAAAACCAACACAACATACGCATCTCTGCTACACTTAGTTGTTGGACATGTTGTCTTTTTGTAGGCCAACATTCAGCACCATATAGCATCGCCGGACGAATCGCTGTCCTATAGAACTTACCTTTTAGCCTTTGTGGCACCCTCTTATCACAGAGAACGCCCGAAGCTTGACACCATTTCAACCAACCGGTTGCAATTCTACGCCTAACATCTTCATTAAAGCCGCCATCCTTTTGTAGCATCGATCCTAAATACCGGAAAGTCTCCTTTCACTTGCCGTCAAGGCTAACGTCACCATCATCATGAGTAGCCATGCTGAAAGCGCACGTCATGTACTCGGTATTCGTCCTACTATGTTTGAAGCCTTTGGAGTCTAACATATCCTTCCACAGCTCTAACTTCCTATTTACCCTGCCCTACTCTCGTCAACTAGCACCACATCATCAGCAAAGAGCATACACCAAGGGATATCACCTTGTATGTCCCTTGTGGCCTAATCCATCACCAAGGCAAATAAAAAAGGGCTCAATGCTGGCCCTGGTGTAGTCCTATTTTAATTGGGAAGTCGCTGGTATCGCTCCCACATGTTCGGACACATCATCGAATCCTTGTACATATCCTTGACGAGGGTAATGTACTTAGATGGCATCTTTGTACATATCCTTGACGAGGGTAATGTACTTAGATGGGACTTTGTGCTTTTCTAAGGCCCACCACATGACATTCTCATAAGCCTTCTCAAGATCGATAAAGACCATGTGCAAGTCCTTCTTTTGGTCCCTATATCTCTTCATCAACTGTCGTATTAGGAAAATCGTCTCCATGGTTGACCTTCCAGGCATAAACCCAAATTGGTTTTGGGTCACACTCGTCACTCGTCATAGGCGATGCTCGATAACCCTCTCCCAGAGCTTCATCGTATGGCTCATCAACTTAATCCCATGGTAGTTACCACAACTTTTAACATCACCCTTGTTCTTGAAGATCGGTACTAAAGTACTTCTCCTCCATTCATCAGACATCTTGTTTGACCGAAAAATGAGGTTAAAAGCTTAGTTAGCCATGCTAACGCTCGGCGCCCAAGCATCTCCACACCTCAATGGGATACCATCAGGGCCCATTGCTTTACCTCCCTTCATCCTCTTCATAGCCTCTCTGATCTCTGCTTCCCGAATTCTCCTTACCAGGCGTCTATTGGTATCCTCAAATGAATCATCCAACTCCAGGGTAGGACCCTCACTCTCCCCATTAAACAATTTGTCGAAGTACTCTCGCCATCTGTCCTTGATCTCCCCATCCTTCACCAGTGGCCGATCTGACCCATCCTTGATGCATTTGATTTGGTTGATGTCCCTTGTCTTCCTCTCCCGGATCCTCTAGCTATCCTATGAACGTCCTTCTCCCCCTCCTTCGTGCTTAGGCGCTGATAAAGGTCATCATAGGCTGACGCTTTGCTACACTCAAGGCACGCTTTGCAGCCCTCCTCGCTGTTTTATAGCTCTCAATTTTGGTTGCACTCTTGTCAAGGTGGAGACGCTTGAAACACTCTTTCTTCTCCTGAGTAGCCCTTTGCACCTCGTCATTCCACCACCAAGTGTCTTTCGTATCCTACTTGCCTCCCCTACTCACACCAAGTACTTCTGCAGCCATCTTCCGTACACATGTTGCCATCTTTAGCCACATGTCATCTGCATCTTCTCCTTCTTCCCAAGGCCCCTCGCCTAGCATCCTATCCCTAAACGTCTGCGCCGCTTCCCCTTTAAGCTTCCACCACTTCGTTCTCACGGTCTTGACATTTGTCCCGGTGGACACGTATTCGGAATCAAAAGTCCGCCACCACCAGCTTATGCTGGGGGCAACACACTTTTCAGGTATCATCTTGCAATCTACGCAAGCGCGTCTATCCTATTATTCAATAGGATTTATTATATAAAATATATTGACTAATTCGGTTAAATACAAAGATTTTTCAGAATATATTATATTTATAACTATTATATTGATATTAACATGATGATTATTTTAAAGTGCTATAATTTTTATATATCACGTATAAAAATATAACATATTTTACTATATTTTTGAAAATAAATTAAAAAGTGAAAAAAAAAAAATTATGGGCTCTTAGGCAATGCCTGAACAACCTAGGTCTGTCGCCTAGACAACCTAACCAGCCGCCTGGACCCCTTAGGTGCTGCCTAGACTATGTCTAATTGTCCGAGTGCCTGGATGGGTTGCCTAGACAAAAATGGGGGCTCCTGGGAGTTGGCTAGAGCCTAGCGCTGCCGTGGCGGGCCCATAGCCAAATTTTTGGAACACTGATTTCAAGTGAAGTCATTTTCTTTAAATTAATAACTCATATACATTTTAGTTTATACTCTGATAATTGATACACTAATAAAATGATGGTGACTAATGAAGTTAACTAGGTACAATTTTATACTTTATGCTTACATGAAACGTCAATATTTATTTTATGTTTAAATTATATCAATACTGGTTGGACTGGCTGTTGAACAAGCTCGAACGGTTGAATATGAACTGGTGGTGGGACCAGCTTGTCTACTGATCTTGTTTTTAAATCATTTTTTTATTTAATCTTTTGTTTCCCTGATTTTCATTTTTCAAATTGTCTTGTCAGGGGTTGGTGTTTGACCTAGAAAAAGGATCAACATTGTATATTGATCTTGCCAAATCCAATTCAAGGTCAAAGCGAGCACGAACAGGTTGATTACATCTTGAATAGATTTTTCCTTTTTATGTTTTTTGGTTGTTCACTATGGTTTGCTTCCCAGTAGTAGCTAATCATGCATTATAATCAGATGAAGGGAGTCAAGGTTCAGAAAAGAGACTAAAAGGGTCTTCGGAATTTTCCAGGAGTGATGATCCTGGTAATGTATATGTACTTTATTTGATTAAGCAATTTGAATATATTTGATTGTTTTCACTTGGAGCTTCCTTCCCACTAGATTGCATATACCAGGAGCAATTATGAATTGTTGCTTCTATTTACACTTGGTTGAATGGATTTTACATGATCATTTTTTAGGCTTCACCTAGTTAGTCACATGAGAACACATTATCCTAAGAGCTCACATTACACGTTTGCACGCTTGGGCACTAGCAGGTTTTGGCAGCTTTCACACGCCTGGAATGGCTAATTCTGCTCACAACACTATTGGTTGTCCTTCCACACAAAGGTCATATGCGCACTACTTATGCACATTTATAATACCTGAAAATGTGATTACATCAATGTGCTCCTTTGAAGTTACATTAAATGATTACTTCCGGTTGAAAAGTCCAGGGGCGAGCATAAAAAAGTTGCAATTTGCCCCTATTCCATGAAGTTAGAGTACCAAGTTATTTTACCATGCTCAAATTGCTTACAAAGTGCATTTTTCTCTTTTTTTTTTTTCCTTTTCTTTTTGGGCTATCCAGCTTCTGGAATGATGGTGGTTCTGCAAATAAGGCTTCTACAAAGTCTGTAAGGCCTACTTCTATCTGACATTTCTTGAAATGATCTCCTTACCTATTGATTTGTATTACCTTTTATTTTTTATTTTTATTTTTTCGAAATATCCAGTCATATACTTAATCATGAGGTATTTGGGGAGTAGGTAACAGGCATCAGGTACATCATCAGGATTATTTTTTTTTTCTTTCATTTGTTTTTTCAATAAAAAGAAATAAGAGACAAAAACTTAATCATCCAACCTGAAGTGGTCTTTTATTCAAATATTCTTTTTAATAATTTCTCATTATATTCTCTTCTCTAAACACTGTAAAATAATTCCTCAAAGAGTGAAACCTAATAGGACTGCAGAAAAAGTTCATCAAGGGCTTTTGCAATGCTCATGTTGAACAGTTAAAGTTTAAATAATAACCTGAGTTGCTTGGTCAGCATGTCTTCTTGAGAAAATTGATACGGGGGCCATTCAGTGTTTTATACAATGAGAGTGCAAGCGTAGCTCACAAGTAAATTGTCTGCTGGCTAAAATCTTTAAATTAACCAAGCTAATTTTATGTTTAATATGCTTCTCCATAAGTAGCTAATTCTTTGTTAGTCTTGAATATTGCTCCATCAGAGATTCCCTTTCCTCCAGATAATTTAATATTATTTTTATTTGTATAATTGTTGATAGATAACCCTTCAAATCTGGTTTGACTCAAAATATTGAAGCTCATCACTCATAGTCCGACTCTTAAAAATTGTAGAATGGTATTCCATGCCCCACTCTGTTTGTGGCTAATCTGGGTCCTACGTGCTCGGAGGAAGAACTGATGCAAGCTTTCTCAAGGTATGTAATATTATATTTTCTTCTGATTGTATTTTCGGGATGTGAATTTAATCCGACTTTAGTTATAAAATGTCTAATTTCATCTGGGCCTTGTACAGATGTCGTGGATTTTTAAAATTGAAGATGCAAAGCACCTATGGAACTCCTGTTGCGTTTGTTGACTTCAAGGTATGTTATAATTCAGATATAAAAAAAAAAAAAAAAAATTGCATTGTAAAACTTACAACTACTAGGGTCTGCATCACAACTTGGAAGTTGCATCGACACGTGGTGGTGTCATTTGACCCCTTACTAAATTGGCAATTTCTGAATTAGAAATAGCCGATGCATTTGTATTCCTGAAGATAATTGTTAATATATAGTCTGCTGTATTCCCTTTTGGGGTATATACAAATTTTCCTTGTTTTTTTTGGTTTTCATATAGAAACTGGAGAATCATTGTTTGTGCTTGTACATTCAGGATACGGCCTGTTCGACTGAGGCTCTAAGCCATCTACAAGGCGCAATTTTGTATTCATCAACTTCTGGTGAAGGGATGCGGCTCGAGTATCCTTGTTTCGAGCTATTTCAGTCCTTCTTTACCTTTTACAATCGTTTTATTTCATCTATATTTAAATGGTTCTTGTTTTGGTCTATTCCTTAAACCGAATACTCAGATATGCAAAGTCTCGAATGGGCATGCGAAGTAAGAAATCCCGGTAAAAGAGCGATAAATATCAGATTAAAACTTTGGCAGAAGAAGCGGTAAAAGAGCGATACAATATCAGATTAAAACTTTGGCAAAAGCTTCTTCGTTGTTACCCAATTTGTTTCCGATTTGCAAATTTTATACTAGTGACCAAAATTTTACATGTATGAGTATGATGCCTCCAGTTGCACGAACCAGGTTGTGTGTACTGTTGTGATTATTATCTTTTTATCTAGTCCCTTAACATGTATGTACACATAATAGTCCCTTTGAACATTAAATAGTATTAGATTTTTTTTTTAAACTAAGGAAAATAAAATTTGTCTAATACACCCGTAATAGATTGATGACATCTCAAATAATATTTATTTTCTCCTCATTGTTCCATTATTCCCACAAGGCAAAAGTTTTAGTCTGCCTAATCTTTAAGCAGTTACACATTCCGAATAGAATTACGCTGTAGTTGCCCGTCTTGTGCGTTGCGGGTTGCGGCCATCGACCATCTAGTCTCACTGATATTTTTCTGTAAATCAGCAAGCATTTCCTCTCTCCCCATCGCTGAAGAAAACTTTCCCCACCAGAAGCAATTTTCCCAAATTGAAGGAACTAGAAGACTACAAAGAAGAAGAAGAAGAAGAAGAAGAAGAAGAAGATTATATATTAACAAATATTTTTATCATATATTAGTTGAAAAAGAAGAAGAAGAAGATTATATATTAACAAATATTTTTATTATATATTAATTGAATATTCTTTGCATTTATAATGTATACTAGTTAAAAAACAATATATGTAGTAAATATGTCTACACACACTTTAGTTTTTACTTCAACCTAACCATTATTTTCTTAATACAAATATAAGTAGACGGTGAAATTCAATTTTAAGTGCTCGAGTAGGGTTGAATGTTCCGATATTAGACATGGTCAGTCAACGGGCCGGACAATAGTGACCTTTGATCGGCCCGTTAAAAACCAAGGGCCGGGCCTATGAACCAGCCCTGTCCTGGCCCTTCGGGACCAAAAAAAAAAAAAGTATGAACCGAGAACGAACCACAAGGACACGGTCCCGGTTCTTGGAACTGCAGCTTTTCGGGCTGGCAGGGACGGCGGGCCCGCGACCATGTCTATCCGATATATTTTATCCGCCAATATAACAATTTATTTATAATTATATTTATTTCTTCTCTTTAGCCATTTAAATCCCACCAATGCACCACCACCATAATATATTTATTTATTCACAATATATTTTTTTTTTTCTTGCATATATAATAATTTTTTTAATATACTCTCCTTATTTATATTTCATAGGCTGAGAGAAATAAATTGAACGCAGCTATATATCTGCCCCTCGTTTTTAACCGTCAGAAAAGAAAATTTCGGCAGTGTTTGGATTTGCCGATAGCCGCTTTTCTGATAGAAAACTGAAAAGTGCAGGATTCTCATTGAAAATGGATAAAAATTTACAAATGGCGCCGTCATCTGCGGCCAACGGGACGAAGAAATCGGAGAAGCTGGCGGCCGGCGGCGTCGATCGGCCGACCAATCCAATGGTGACACCTCTGTTGACGGATCTCTACCAGTTCACTATGGCCTATGCTTACTGGAAAGCCGGCAAACACAATGACCTCGCCGTGTAATTTCTCTGTTCTCTCTTTGTTTATTTACCTTTGATTTGATTGATTTTCGTCCGATGATGAGCTTATTCGTTGCATGCTTATTTCTTTGAGAGTGTGTATTTGGTTATGCGCTCAAAATTCAGCATGCAGGATTACTGTCAAAATTGCCCAGGCGAACTCTTTTTTTTTTTTTTTTTTTGTTTGGAAGAGAACTGGAGAGTTTGATTTTCCGAGGATATTGTTCATAATTTCCCCCTCTCAAGCATGTAATTTTAATTGATGCTTAGTTTTATTCAACTCTGATTCGTCATCCTCAAGAAGTTTGTTGATTGTGAAGCTTTCTTCAGGGCATCTGAGCCATCTATAATGGAGATGTCTATTTGAGTTGGTTATTAATTTGAGGCTTAGTCATGTTATGCGTTTTTTTATTAGCCTCAACCAACTCGAATTTAATTCATCAGGATATTTTTTGTTCCAGTTGATAGATGGAGTACATTTAGATGGAATCTTCCATGTGATTTGTCATATTAAAATCAAATTCCGAAATGAATGAATGTTCGTTTTTGGATTCTACATCTGTGCTCAGCATGGCTTCCATAGCAATTCATCTTATCATGACCTGCCCTTGGGAAAGTATGCTTCTCATTAACAATCATGGAAAGTTAAGCAGACTTTTCCTCCGTTTTGGGTATATTTTGAGGGTATTTAATTTTGACAGACTGTTAAATTTTGAGCTAGCATCTTCTTGTGCCTGATCTGATCACAATTGATAGTATATTCACATTCTTCTCACTGGATACTAATATGTCAGCCAGGTTCTCGGTACTTTAGTGGGACTTGTCGTTAACTTTTCTTTCTAATTATAATTACATGCTATGAACTGAGAAACATAACAAATTTAAGACAATTTCTCATTCGCAATCTTATCTCCTTTTCCAGGTTTGATTTGTATTTTCGGAGAAATCCTTTTGGTGGGGAATACACAGTGTTTGCTGGTCTAGAAGAGTGCATAAAGTTAATTGCTAATTTTAGGTTCACAGAAGATGAAATTGCATTTATCAAGTCGTCCTTACCTTCATCATGCGAGGTATTTGACCCGGAGCCAAACTGATCAAGATGTTCTCCAAAGGAAATATAATTTAATTCTTAAATTTTGGCGATGAGTAACTAATTAAGTGCAAACATAATTGAATTCACTTAAACCATATTCCGAAGTGTTCAACTGAGGCTTCTGTATGTAATATTTGCAGTAAGTGTGTTATTTGGGTGTGTGTATAAATATAGGTGCTTTGACTCCCTAAATTTGATTGTTTGAACCAAGATATCAAATTCAACTAGTTTGTCAACCATAAGAAATCAAAATCCAATTCTTTAGGTGAAACTTGATATTACACGGAAGCACGTAGGCTACGAAATAAAAATAACACAAATCATCATAAACTTGGTCTCGACGGTTTATTTTCTTTGGTTTATTACCTAAATAACTTGTTTACCGACTATTATTCATTCCAGATTCCTGCTTTTGTTTAGGTAAAGTAATTTGTATGACACATCTGGTTTACTTTAGGCAAATTATACACTGTTCGTTATAGTGTTTCCAGGTCTGGCTCTCTTGCTTTAGGTTAATCAATGTTTGTCTCTAGGATGGCTTCTATGACTACCTTCGAGCAGTTGATTGTTCTAATGTTGAGATACATGCTATTTCCGAAGGATACGTTGTGTTCCCGAAGATACCATTGATGAGAATCGAAGGCCCAGTAGCTGTAAGTATATCTTAAAGATCCTTTTACAACATTTTCCCCTTTGTTTTTTCATATCATTGTTCATCCCACCACTTCTTAATACTGTCTTAAGGTTGTTCAACTGCTGGAGACCCCACTTGTTAATCTGATAAATTACGCTTCATTAGTTGCAACAAATGCTGCAAGACATCGTTTTGTTGCTGGGAAGTCCAAGCTTCTTCTTGAGTTTGGGCTAAGACGGGCACAAGTAATATGCTTTGTCCATCTTATTCCATGTTAAAAAAGAAAAAAATATTACCCTTTTTAATTAAGTAGTTGGCTGTTCTTGTTGTCTTGCTGCAGGGTCCTGATGGAGGTATAAGTGCATCCAAGTATTGCTATATGGGTGGATTTGATGCGACAAGGTGATTTGAACTTAAAAATATAAATGAATTTCCGTTACTTTTATCTCTTGGTGACTGGTGCTTCTTTTGCTATGATTTAAGTGTAATTGTGTTGCTGAAATTGTGAGAGAGATCAAGTAATACAAGGCATGAATTGTTGATAGTATATTCACAGATATAGAATAATTAAGCAACTAAGGAAATAAGATAAATCTACAGATTCGGTGCTTTCATTGCCTTTGAAAATATTTATTTTCTTGCTTCTCTTATTATTTCCGTGAATTATGATGCCATTTCAATATAAATATAGGTTCTCTAGCAGAGGCAAGGTAGTTGATAAATGGACCTGGTAGAACTCATCCCTAAAAAGCTAGCTTAAAGGGAGAGAGGGTGCTCATCCGACACTTACATACAATAACCTAGTAAATTGATATGGGACAAACATACCTTATAATACCCGCCCTCACGCATAGCATGCCGATCCAAATGGGTCGGTTTCGAAACCAAACATCGCCTTCAAACAAACAAACCTAGGTGCTCTGGTACCATGATACATGGGCAAAGGTAGAACTCATCCCCAAAAGCTAGCTCAAAGAGAGAGGGTGTCCAACCCACATTTATTCACAACAACAACCGAGTGGCTAATAGATGTGACAGTTGACAATAATAATTATATTGTAATGCTTTGGCTATTTGGCAAGATTAGTTCTTTGTGGGAATAATTTTTCTGATGGGAAGCTTTATACTTCTGGTTACCATTTATCAAATAAAATTCTACATTTCATTCTTTTTGTTCTTTACTCCTATTGTAGTCTTGGAGATTAAACTGGTCATTTGGTGGGACAAATATAACTTCTAACAGTTTGACAATGATAATTATAATGTAATGTTTTGGCTATTTGGCTAGATCAGTTATTGCTGGGAAGAATTATTCTGATGGGAAGCTTCAAGCTTCGGTTACTATTTATCAAATAAAATTATACATTTCATTCTTTTGATTCTTTACTCCTATCATACTCTTGGAGATAAAGTTGGTCATTTGGTGATGTGGTCCGTCGTTCACTAGAAATTAAAATGTTATACCATTTATGTTATGACTAAAGCTGATTAATTAATTTTGTTACTTATGCTTTGTGTTGGTATACTAACTACAAATGATGCCAGAATAGCATATTATGGATGATACTGATTCAAACCATTTATACATATAAATTATCATCACTTATAAATTCAGGCGTGAAATGAGCATCTTGTTTACTATGGACAATTCATATTTTGATAGAAACGATATTCGATACCAATTGGTAATAATCTAATGTAACACTTGGATATTTTTTATAAATATGTTGCCAACTAAAAGGTCAAGGTATACAGATGCAAAATGATGTTATTTTGTACCAATTTTTTATCTTAGTTTTGTACTCAGTAAGGCTAACCAATCCAGAAATAATGTGGCCTAAAGGACCATGCAGGTTGGTTAAGGTTTTGATTCACTATATGATGTATGGGGCATAGAGTGAAATGACTTCTTTTTATTTTAGGTAGAGATTTTGAGCCGTATTTGTCTAAGTATCAAAACTTTATGTCTACTTCCCACATGGTGTTGGCTGATCAATTGAACTACCTCAAGTTCTTTTGTTATATCAAACAATTTGAGTTTTTCTTTGCTATCGGCTTCTATGCGTAATGTTTAAGGCCCAAAGTTGTATTCTACAGTGGAAGAGAAATATAATTTGAAGCATGGTAGAATTTTTTTTCCAATTGACATAGATTTCGTTGATATGGACCCTGGCATTTCATTTATTTTATATTTTTTGCTTGACAATTTTTGTATCTGACAAGTATGTACATGAGCAGTAATTTACATTTATATTTGCTTTTGGATATTGACAGCAATTGTGCTGCTGGGAAATTATTTGGAATACCACTTCGAGGGACACATTCTCATGCGTTTGTCAGCTCATTTACGGTAGGTGGTAGATGTATTATTTATGCCAAAATAGGCTGAAACAAAGGGTTTACTTGAAGTCAGATTTCAGTTTTTCTTTCCTGTCCTTGTAATTTTTTACTTTTTGACAATAATTCTGTATAACTTCTTCTCTCCATTTTGCATTATGTAAGCTGCTTTATTTCAAAAGACAGGTTTACCTGGATCTGAAGATGATCCATTGAGGTTTCAGTTGTTCAATTTTCTTTCTTGAAAACCATTATTTGCTAGAGTACCCACGTAATAGTTACATAATTTTAGGATTAGTATTGGAGAGAACCTTTCCATCAAGGTGCTGAGGGGTGTAACAGTGAAAATTTGAGTAATTTTCTTTTGATTTTTCTTAGCTCTCTTATATTGTAGGAAGTGAGATGTGATAGTAGGCTTTGGAACTTGCTTTATTTTATCTTGCCACCACCATCATTTGAATTTCAAAAACCAAGAAACCATGTTCTGGTTTATTGGTGATGCTTCAAGAAGAGTCAACATATGATTGAGAATACGAATGCCTATTTTGCGTAGTAAATAGATGAGCAGTATTAATAGACTGCATAAAATATTTTATTTACTTAATGTTTCCTGCTGTCACATCTTCTCAAGTCACATCTTTCAGTTATCTTATTCGATCAAATTTTGCAGAGCCCTGACGAGATTGCTGAGAAATCACTTAAGAGTTGTGATAGCTCAATGAGTTGTGAGGATTTTGTTAGTTTGGTCCGAACGTGGTTAAGCAGATTGAAGGTGTGATTGATACAGCATTGTTATTTTTACTCTTTTAAGTTGTTGGTTTTCTGCACTATGCATTGCTTCTGCGCTAACGCCTGCTAGATTAACAATTGTGTAAAGATACAAGTTGAACAGTGTATTCAAATTTGACTTTTCTTAACTTTCTCAAGTTATTATTATTATTATTATTATTATTATTATTATTATTATTATTTTATTTTTTATTTATTTATTTATTTTTCTCCAAGCTTTTGCGCTAACGCCTGCTAGATTAACCATTATGTAAAGACACAAGTTGAACAATCTATTCAAATTTGACTGTAAATAGCTTTATCAAGTTCTTTTCTTTCTCCAAATTCTGATGTATAATATTTGTATATATTATTAACTGCAATGATTTTTTATTTGGATCTTCATTTCATTGAGGCGGTTCGCAACTAGTGTGAACTTTTATAACTTTTCTTTTGTGAATATTATCTCGTGTCCTATTATGGTGCACTTGCTCAGTATAAGTAATACTACTTAGAACCAAGGATATAATATCATATAGTTCAATATCTAATGGATAATAGATTAATACAACTAACGTGATTGGATCAGAGAATGGTAGATGCGAAACTGTTGGCGCTTTATTAAACTGAGCTACCCAACATATATCTGTGGGATATGTAGTGATACCCTACTCACCCTCCATCCATTCCATACTTAAAAGGGAAAGGATAAAGAAAAAGAACTAAAAGAAATTGTATTTTTCCTCCAGTGTTTTATGTTTTATTGGGAAATATGACCACTTTCAACGTAATCATGTAGTCTGATTAAATTTCTGTTACCTGTGTAGCGGTCGGCTGTATTGGGTGGAATTTTCAGCGAAACAAATCAAAGTGAGTTAGCTGCTTTTGTCTCATATGCTCTTGCCTTCCCGAAGAACTTTTTGGCCCTTGTTGATACATATGATGTAAGTATAATTTCAAGTTTTCTTTGTCAGTGCTTATAATATTCATGTATACCAATACAATTTGTTTTTCTCCAGCTACATAATTACTGCTTAGTAATGATTCAAGCAAATGGAGAAAACAGAACCTGTTCAAGTTTTGTTAAAAAGGGTTTTGGGAAATCGCCAAGTTGCAAACTATTTTATGGATGAACATAAAAAAATATAACACTTCTTTATAGATACATGTACCACTGGGGTCAAAGCAGTGATCATTAATCTCTATTAATATCGCTTGTCGCTTGAAAGTAATCTTTGTGACCTGATCGGCTCATTCTGGAATTTTTTATTTCAGTTATCACTTATCATGGTCATAATTTATTAACTAACTCTCGTATTTTGTTTTATTTATTAAACTTCCATTTTGTTATAATGCAAGAAGAACACAATGCTCTAATTTTAATATATTGCAGTCCAGGTGGTGTATATTATTATAAAAGTCACACATTTCCAGTAAATTTCTTATTCATGTTGTATGTGATCTCCAAATATTGTTCATCGCTTTCATTTTTATTGACGAGCTTTAAACAATCCTTGTGAACAGGTTATGAGAAGTGGAGTTCCTAATTTTTGTGCAGTTGCTCTGGCTCTAAATGATTTGGGGTAAGTTCATAAGACATTCTCTGGTGGTACATTCATGTAGTGATATGTGCCAGCTCTGTGGTGTGGATGATGTTTCTTAAAGATGTTACATGTATCCATGATTTTGATATTTGCCTAATTTCTTTAGGTTTACAACGTTCTAATTATATGTTGCATAAAACTAGTAGAAACCTGCTACTTGTGTGTGTTTGTGTGGGCGTGTATGGATAGGGCTATACAGCGTTTTCTTCTCTTGTTAGTGGTTTTATTTATTTTCAAGCAATTGTGTGCTGATTATTGTTATAAGCCTTGGAGAGTCTTTCTTTAATCAGCTTTCATCAGGTACAAAGCAGCAGGTGTTAGGCTGGACTCTGGTGATCTCGCCTACCTATCATGTGAGACGCGTAGATTTTTTCAGGCGATTGAAAAGGAGTTTAGATTACTCGGTTTTGGAAAGACAAGCATTACAGCTAGTAATGACCTTAATGAAGTAACTCTGGATGCTTTGAAAAAACAGGTGAAAATCATTATAAATATATATATATATACAGTGCCTATCATTCAAATTTTAAGCACTCTTTTTACCCAGGGTCATGAAATCGATGTATTTGGAATTGGGACGCATTTGGTCACATGCTATGCTCAACCTGCGCTAGGCGTTGTTTTCAAATTGGTAGAAATTAATAACCAGCCTCGTATCAAACTCTCAGAAGATGTTTCAAAGGTTTCACTTAGATCTCTGAATATGACATTACCCATTTAAAAAAATAAGGAAATAAAATTAATAATAGTGAATATTCGTCTCATAACATTTATTTTAGGTGTCTATCCCTTGCAAAAAAAGATGTTACAGGCTTTACGGGAAAGAAGGTTATTCCCTGGTGGACCTTATGACTGGGGAAAACGAACCACCTCCTAAGGTATTATTTCATTGTTTATAATATATATGATTGAGAAATCACTCCGCACATTGTACTAAAACCATGGTTTAGAAAAACTGACCGGAGCAGCCGGTTCAACTAGTTGGACCGGGAACCGGTCAGTTGACCAGTCCGGTTCGCGAATGGATATATATAAGTTAGTTTAAGTATTTGAATGGTTTAAATTGGTTAAATATTTAATACAAAGGTTTTATATAAAATATTATATATTTAAATATTAATAAATTAAATAATGGTCCAACTAATTCAATCTTTGGTTGGACCCATGGTTTAGAAAACCGAACAGGATCGGCCGAACCGGTACTGCTCAAGTTCAAATTACTCATTAAATAATACTTATTAATTAAAAATTTGGAATCAACACATAATGCAATTTACCTATATTTTACTGAAAATACTACATGATATTTAAATTGTATGAAGTTACATAACAAAATGTCTATTTAAAATTAATACACAACCTATACGGTGCAAGTAACTATTAACATAATAAATTACGTTATATTCATTTCAAATTAAATGTCATTTGAAAACTTCTAATAAAAAATTTGATTTGACTATAATGTGATTCCATAAGATAATTATTTTGATAAAATTTTATCATATATTAAAAAATCTATGTGAATAATAAGTATAACTGTAAAATTTATATTATTTGTTCAATTAAAATGATTTTTTATAAACTGCGCAAATATAAAAAAAAAAAGAGTAATTGAGTAATATATAAACTATAAATAATTGGCTATTCTATTTACTTTCGAGTTAATATTGAACTGTAATTATGAATAATTATTTATTTTGACTTTTAAATTCGAAATCCAATTTTGGACTAAACAATAAATTCTCTTATATATTTCATATATTACCTTGTAAGTTTCTAGATTTTTGTCGGTTACCTTATCGTTTAAGTTTATCAACAAATTCTCTAGAATTAAAATTCCAATTTTTAAATTTTATTAACCAATATTGGTTCAAAGATCTTTTTTATTTTCAAGAGGAATACATACCAATTTGTCGAATTATCATAAATATCTTATGACAAGTTATTATGGAAATATGCTAAAACTTGAGAATCATATCAACTAAATTTTATAATAAATCAACCTAAAATTCGACCTTCCTATCCATACCAAATAAAATTTATACCACTTATTCTGTTTTTAAACTTTCTAGATACACTTCTATCCATTCCAATAAAAATTCATATCATTTAAATTTAGACATTTCATACCAAAATAAAATTAATAACAACGCATTTCCTACCAAAAATAAAAGTTGTCATCAGATACCTTAAGTAAAATTTCCTATTTTATACCAAAATCATATTTATTATTTTTTCTAATTTTATAGCATAAATTGATTAATTAATTTCCAGAGCTATATTTTTTGAAATATTTTCCAAACAGATTACGAAGGTTAGTAATTTTAAAGTTTTTAGGCGTTATTTTAATTTTTATTTTAAATAAATACAAATATTTATATATATAGATATAGATAACCGAGATTACAGAATTTGATTTCAAACTACTTATGCAATAATTAATCACTTGAATTATTTAAAAATAAAAACCAATGCCTTTTCAATTTATTGCTGAAGGTTACGGTTAATGGTCTAAATACAGATAGGTGAACTTTTGAAAATCTAAATGCACACCAAATTGGCTTAATTTCAGAACTTCTTTATTTAAAATTATTGACTTTAACTATTTTTCAGTTAGACATTGCCACGGGTCGGCCCGACCCATGGCCCGGCCTGCTAATCGGCACCGGCCCGGACCGAACCGGCACCGGCATCGGCCCTGAATTGCGCGGGCCTATGAACCGGACCGTGCCCATGCGGTTCGGTCTCGGTTCTCTCTTTTTTTTTTGACCCGCCGGGCCGGGCCGGTTCCGGTTTTTCCGACGGGTCATAGTTGTTTTTTTATTTTTTTTATTTATTTTTTATTTTTTTTAACCCACCGCCTTTGAACCGGCCCTTAGGAATTACCGGGCCGGTTACAGGCCCAACAATTGAGGCCCGCCGACCCGGCAGGCCGGGCCGGGCTCGGACCCGGCACCTGGCCATGTCTATATTCAGTTTCTTATGAAAATAAATAAAGCTATTTTGAGCGGATTATTTTAGGCCTAATTTTATGATTTTTAAAGAATTCAAATTTGATGATAAAATTTCCTTATTAAGTAACTAAATATTTTTTTGGCGGGAAATATTTACTATTTTAAAAATAACCAAACCTTTTTATATCTATATATATATATATATATATAGATATAAGTTAGTTATTGGTTAGTTTAAGTATTTAAATATTTTAAATTGGCTGAATATTTAAATAACAAATTTTTTATATATAACTTTTTATTATTTAAATATTATATATTTAAAAATATTAATAGATTAAATAACGGTTCCACCACTTGATAGTGTGATCCATGGAATTAGTAGCTTGACCGGTTAGAACCTTGATTGTAACACATGTTTTCTTCTTTGAGTATTCAGTTGCTCACTTATTCGATTTGTATGAAAATAAAAAAAAGTAAATAATAACAATTAATATCATTCGCAGGCTGGTGAGAGAATCTTGTGCCGCCATCCATTTATTGAGTCCAAGAGAGCATATGTGGTGCCACAATGCGTGGAGGAGCTTATGAAGTGTTATTGGCCTGGTAATCAATTTGCAATTTCTGTTGGATATTTTTTTGCAAGAATGTTGAAACTACAAAAATTTTATGGTGAATACACATTTCTTGTTTTCTAGACTTTGTGTTAGAAATAGATTGCTATTTCATTGATTCAAATAATTGTGCTTTTGGGCCCATTTCCTTAGAATATTTATTATGGTTAGGGTTAGGGTTAGGACTCTATTCAAGGAGACTAACAAATTGACACCTAGGATATTAGAACTCGTCCGAAGAAAAAGAAGCCCAGAATCAGAAAAATCCCAAGTTCGTGCACCTCCTCTCTAGTTGAGGTTGCTCCCCCTTGCCATCGGCGATGGTTTCTGGCGGTGCATCCTCCAGGCGAACTCTCGGTTTTTCCCCTTCTGCGTGGTCCTTCCCTTGCTGGAGCCATGGGGAATTTTGGTGGAGGGCCAACGCCTTTGCCGGAACTTTCGCCGCGTCTAGCATCGGCTACTGTCGGGGTTTAGTCCGGTGACGTGGTTACCCCTTGTTCCTCCTTTCTCTCTCTGGTGCTGGGAAGGAGGAGCCTTCCGGCGGAGGCGGTTGCTTGGGCGGCGATCTTGTATTTGTTGTGTTGTTGGATTCCTGAGGTTGTATGTGGTGGCGATCTTGTGTTGGTTGGGTCTGTTGATCCGGGCCCAGTTAGCCGTAGGGGGAGTTTCTCAATCCGGTGGGCTGTTTATTGTCTCATTGGTGGCTCGCCTTTGTTTGGAGCTTTTCCTCTAGGAGAGGATGTTCGCCCGGGTTGTATGGATCCAGTCAGCCGCGGTAAGTGTAGTAGAGTTTCTGGATCTGTGATTTGGGTTGGGTTCTGTCTGTGGGCGGTAATCTTGTGGGTGGTAATCTTCTGGTGTCGGTCCGTTTGTCGTTGCTGTGGGCGGCTTGTATGTCGTAGGGGAGGGTGTTATTCTAGTTTAGCTAGTGTTTCGTGTTTTGTTTTGTGTTGTATTCTCCGTTATTGGAGCTAGAATTCTCCATTGTTGGAGTTATAAAGTTCTCCACTTTTGGGAGTGTAAATTACTACTATTGTAGTTTGTAGTTTGTGGGTGCGTTTAGTTTAGTTTATTCTAGGCTATAGACATTCTTGTCTTGTAGGATTTAGCTGTTTAGCTATTTCTGTCAGCTAGTTGCCCGTTTGTAATTATGTGTTCTATTAATAGAATTTGTCGTTCCGAAAAAAAAATAAATAAATAAAAAACATTTGATACCTAGGATAGGATATCTTTGGTTGGATAGGATTTTTAGCATTAAGCTTGGTCGGGAAATTTCATCACGAAGTATCGCCCCGAGTTATTTTTGAGTTACTTTCTTAATTAGTAATATCAATTATTTATTATTTTTGTTTGCTTTCACTATTAGCCCTATCAAAGACTGCATGTATTGGGGATATTTTCAGAAGTCTTAGAAGTGATTTCGATTAACCCATCCTAACAAATTTTTCTTTTTCTTTTTCCTTCGGTAGGAAAAAATAGAGAAGAACTACCGTCACTTGCACAGATTAGAGAACGTTGTATAAAACAACTGGACCAGATCCGACCGGACCACATGAGAAGGTTGAACCCAACGCCTTATAAGGTACGAATTTCATACATACATTCGACTATTTTTGGTGCGCCAGTGACTGCAACTTTATCGATTTGTTTTTCAAAAATCTGTCGATTTTCATGACATTTATTTTCCTAACCAGGTTAGTGTTAGTGCGAAATTGTACGATTTCATTCATTTCTTGTGGCTCAATGAAGCACCCGTGGGTGAGTTGCAGTGACAATGGGGGTAACATAGGGTCATATATTTTGGTAGGCTTCTAATGTCTACTTAAAAAATAGTCATCACTTTCTTTTCACATTCTCTAAGTTAGGCTTATTCCCGATTTTCAGAAGTTAAATATATGTAAATCTTGTTTTATACATTTATGATAAATAAATTGCCCGCTCTACTTCCCTTTGCTTTTCCTTTGTGCAATGAATTGGGTTATGCAGCTGGAGATCTTCATATTTGAAGCTCTTATATGTTATAATCATTCTGTGCTTTATGCTACTTGGTAACATTATAGAGAGATAATGTCAATAAAAAAAAGTGACACAATGCTTTAGTTAATAAATAATACATTCACATATATTTATAGGGAAATGCTATTGTTCTGTTACTGAACCATTCCGCCGGGGTTTGTAACCATTAGATAAACTATCCCGACGATTACATGATGATCTAACGATTACAAACCCTGACGGAATGATTCTGTAACGGACTGTAGCATCTCCCATATTTATATATACCTTGTCTATAATCCTCTTCTTTAACGA